TTTTTCTCTCTCATAGATTTTTCTCTCTCTCTCTCTCTCTCTCTCTCTCTCTCTCTCTCTCTTTCTCTCTCTCTCTCTCTTTCTCTCTCTCTCTCTCTCTCCCCAATCAATAAATATATCCTTGCATGAGGCTTAAAAAGAAAAAAAAGAAACGCTGAGTGTAGTAGATATTACATGGTGAGGAGAAGGGCAATATGACTGGATGCCTTCTCAACAGGGAGATCAGGTGCTCTCCCCGCTTGGTGCAGCCCAGGCCTTTCTCTACCCTCTCTCCCTGCCTCACCCCCACCCCAGCCAGAACCCAAGTACCCAGGTTGCTGAACCCAGGTTTGGTCTGACCCCACCGGTCAGACACCTGGTGCTCTTCCCACTGCCTACAGCATATTTGGTGCCACGTGACTTGCCTGCTGGCAGATTCCAAGGCACATGCACGGTCGACCTGGCCCAGGAAGATGCCATCACTCCTTGTATTTCAGCTCCAGGCCCAGAGAAGGAAAAAACCAGCCACCGCTGCCAGCAGGATCAGCTGCACTGAATACTGACCCCCTGCCCTGGTGCCTGCCTATCAATCATTGGAGACCACCACCCTGAAAGGATACACCTGAAGAACTGCATGTATCCTACTAAGATCTTTCCCTGGGAGCTCCCCAAAAATCTCTGCCTTCAAACGCTTAAGATGGAGGACCCAGTGCGTTCTCCCTCCCTGGAGCACACCTGTGCCTCTCCCTTCCCTCTCTCCCTCCCCACCCAGGTACATTACCATCAGCTTCCTCACTCCCAAGCTCCAAGGGCCCTTCCTTTACCTCTGGAACTTGTTGTCTAAGCCCATTTCTTCTAGATATTACCTCTACCTCTTTAATTTGCCCAATAAATGTCCTCTTACCAAAAATAAAAATAAAAAATAGGCAGAATGAAGTAAAGCTATATGAGGACAAAGTGATTGCAGGATATCAAACTGAGTTCACAGAACGAGCTAAATGCCACCACTCCCAGCCCCACACATCGTTCCATCTAGGGTAGGTCTTTCTTCGGAGCCCTGATTACCCTCATTCCTGTAGATCACCTTCCACTAAGCCTTACGAAGACTGACACCACACCCCATCCCATGACCCCCAAATTGCCAGAGGTCACTATTAACTCTCAAGGATGCTGCCTCGAAACCAGCAAAAACTCTCATTCTTAAGATTCTAGGTATTCCCTTCTGATCACAATATATTTATTCACAAACAAAATTAAGATTCTGATCAATGACTTCAATTCTATGATTTCAAATACAAAAACAAACTACTAAACCAGACTGTTTAGGGATGCAGTCATCACTTTCAAAGAGTTAAAAAAAAATACAGTGGGGCCTTGATTACGAGTTTCCTGACTGATGAGTTTTTTGAGATACCAGCTGTTTCTCGGCCGATTTTTTGCATTGAGTTGATTAGTAATTTGAGTTAACGAGCTCCTTAACAAGCTCGGTCTTGGAATGAATTAAACTCGTAAGTCAAGGCCCCACTGTAATCCTATACAATAAAAGCCTAATATACTAAGTGCCAGTTGGTCATTCAACCTATCAAAGAATAATACGCTAATGATATGCTAAGGTTGCTCAACTGCTCGCTATGATGTGCACTGACCACCAGGGGGCAGATGCTCCAACTGGTAGGTTAGCTTGCTGCTGGGGTCGGCTGATCAGGACTTAGCAAGATGGGCTGGACAAGCCCTGGAGCCCTCCCACGGTCCCTCCCTGGCTGACCAACCTCCTGCATCCCTCCCTGGCCACAATTGTGCACCGGTGGGGTCCCTCGGTCTGGGCTACACTCTCTCACAATACAGGCTGAGGGGGCTCCCCCTACCCCTCGCCGAGTGCACGAATTTTGTGCACCAGGCCTCTAGAAATATTTATAAAAAGCAGGATCATGGTTACTGCTGGGGTCGGGGGGGGAAAGTTTTTGACAAACAAAATGCCTGAGGTAGAAAGGTTTTTGTGGGTGCTGCAATATTTTAATTTTCAATCTGGGTGGTGGTTGTATAGGTATTGGTTTTAATGTTATTCATTAGATTATATGTATCCATGTTTTATATACTTTTCTATTTGTTATTTCCCAATAAAAATCTATAATAATAAAAGCATAATATGCTAATTAGACCAGACACCCTTCCAGACGACTTTTCAGATGAAACTGTGGTGGTGGGGGCCGAAGCAGAGGCAGCCAAGGCAGCGGTAGCCACCGTTGTGGTAGGAGCAGAGCCCCTTGCACAAATTTCGTGCATCAGGCCTCTAGCATTTATATAAAAGACCCCTTGACCCATCAAAATGTTTAAAATAACAAACATATACAAAATCTAATACAGTTAATAACTAGTACATATGTTTAAAAAAATGTTTCTGAACATTTTTTGAATCAGAATTTTTCTCCAAATCAAAATATTATTTGCATCCTAAATAAGCACAAAGTTTATTAAACTATCACACTGCTGGTGAGCATGGTAAAAGTGCTTTTCATACTCTAATGTATAAATCAATTTGGCCTTCTCATCCAGAAATTCTTCAAATCTCTTAAAATGAAGAGTTATAAGCATCAAGATCTTACCCTCAATGTTTTAACAGCCAGATGAATAAATGAAACCAACATAAATAATAAATAATAAAACATTATTTAAAAAAATTATACAGATCTATTTGAGAAAGTATATGTTATCCTTTAATTAATCATTATGGTAACTATCGAAATATTTTTTAAAAATCTTTTTTAGAACTATATACTAAAGTATCCTATATAATAAAGATTACCCCCACACCCTCACAAGATGGCTGTCTATGACCAGGCCAGTAGGGGGGTTACTGAGGGATGACCAAACAACTGAACAGAGCAGGCTGCAAATTCAGAGCAAGCATTAAGTTAACTGTTTCTTCAAGCAAGCATTAAGTCAACTGTTTGTCTCATTTGTAAAGCACTGAAATTTTGTAATTATTACTTGTCTAATCTTCACAGGACTCAGCCCATTTAAAATGAAGTCACTTTAGCATGCATCAACAAGGCCCACAATTTCAACCTCCTGTGTGGGGACACCAGGTTGGCGGGGGGGGGGGCAACCAGGCCAGCATGGGGGCAGTTGGAGGTGACCAGGCTTGGCAGGCGGGAAGTTAGGGGGCAACCAGGCTGGCAGGGGGCCAGTTAGGGGGCAACCAGGCTGGCAGGGCGCGCGGGTAGGAGAGATCAGGCAAGCAGGGCAGTGAGCAGTTAGGAGCTAATGGTCCCGGATTTTGAGAAGGATGTTTGACTGCCAATTTATGCCC